ATGCCTGTATTGTTGTCAATTTCTAGCTTCTCCAGACCCACCCTCACTCAGCCAATCAGCTATCAGCCAAGAGCGTCACATGGTCCTTTCTTATAAGTATGCAAATGAAAAGATAATAAGACAATAACATTGTTGTAGGTTGATTTGTTCACGAAATACATTTTCCAAGCTGTTTATGATGTAATGCAAACCTGCGCATGCGCGTCTCACGGCAGCCAAACAAACTAAGATGGCGGATATGAAGTCTGTGAATTGCTTTAAAAGTTAATATTTATTTATATATATATGTATGTATTATATAATATATATATATATGTATGTATTATATAATATATATATATATATATATGTATTATATATAATATATATATATATATGTATACATATATGTGTATGTATATACAGTATTATAATTTAGTAGAATTAATAAAGAAACTAAGCTGTATTTGGTTCCTTTCTTTTGCAGTTGACAAACCTTTTTACTGCTGATTAAAATGTTTGAATGAAATTGTTTTTTCAAATATTTCATTATTGTGTCAAACTTAAGAAAACACGTGTTAAAAACATAGACTGTAAATATATATTTTTTTAAAATAAAGAAAATATGACGTAATGGCAGTGTGCTTTGACGATAGAAAGGGACCGCTATCATACGGAGTGGCTTGACAGGAGAAGTTGACTACTTAAACCAAACTTTACACAAAAATTTGACTCTTAAAACCCACATATAACAACAAGGAATCATCAACATCTCGCCTCAATTTGCAATAAAAGGGACATCTGTATCTTAATTCGTTCGTATTTTAACTTTTAAAGCAATTCACGGACTTAATGTCCGCCATCTTGGTTTGTTTTGCTGCCGTGATACACGCATGCGCAGGTTTGCATTACATCATAAACAGCTGAGGCAGTGTATCTCGACAAGTGCAAACCGACTTAACACCGGCACAGACTATATTTTTAATCTTTAACATGTTTGCACACTTCTGCCTTTTGCACACTGAGTGATTCTATCCCTGTCAAATGTGACCTATACATTTCTCCAGTGTGACATAAATAAAGTCTATCTTATCTTATTACCTCACGTGACAGAGCTCTTCCAACAGTTATGGTTCTTGTTCAAACATAAATACAGCACTGGCATTTAAACTATCAGTTTAACCATGTCTTATGGTTGTACAGATATACCTCTGCTTTATAGTCCCATGTGCAGTCATTAGCAGCACGCATAAGCTGCAGCTTGTTTCTTATCACCATCATCTTGTTCACAGTTGAATAGTCTATTACCTGACACAATGCCTTTCATAGAGGCTTACATAGTCTTCTCTCAGTGGGAAAAGCTTTTTAGGCCTCACTGTAGCAGAATCCATGCATTATAAGATCACAGATTGATCGGTTGGTGGAAAATTAAGTCTTCAAAATGGGAAAGACACACCGTTACGTCTTCCAGCAACACAGCAGTGCTTCCTTTCGAGGTGTGAATGTATCATCTAGTTGTCCCTTCAAGTGTCTTGCCAATGCATAAAATCATTTTAACACAATTCTCAGGCATGAATCGCTGTATGATCTGCAATTTAAACTCCTCTCATGTTGCCAAGCTCATCTCTCTAAATTTGAAAATACTTGAATATATCCTGCCATCCCTGCTCCAGGACAAGCTCTCCCAGCTCAACGTGCCCGATTCCACCTGCAGGTGGATCACTGACTTCCTGACAGACAGGAAGCAGCGACTGCGTCTGGGGAAGAATGTCTCGGACTCTCGGATCATAGAATACAGGAGCCCCACAGGGCTGTGTTCTTTCTCCCCTGCTATTCTCCCTGTACACCAACCGCTGCACCTCCAGCCACGACTCCGTGAAGCTGATCAAGTTTGCAGACGATACCACCCTCATTGGACTCATCTCCAACAACGATGAGTCCGCCTACAGGAGGGAGGTGGACCGGCTGGTGTCCTGGTGCAGTGGTAACAACCTGGAGCTGAACGCCCAGAAAACAGTGGAGATAATTGTGGAATTCAGGAAGAGCACAGCCCCCCCGCCCCCACCCTCCGTGATGGACTTCCCCATCACCTATGTGGAGTCCTACCGTTTCCTGGGCACCACCATCACCCAGGACCTCAAGTCGGAGCCGACCATCAGCTCCCTCATCAAGAAGGCCCAGCAGAGGATTTACTTCCTGCGGCAGCTCAGGAAAGCCAAGCTGCCTGCACAGATGTTGGTGCAGTTCTACACGGCCATCATCAAGTCCATCCTCACCTCCTCCATCACCGTGTGGTTCGCTGGAGCCACAGTCAGGGACAAACAGAGACAAGCAGAGGAAGTGATCGGCCGCAGCCTTCCATCACTGCAGGACCTGTACGTTGCCCGAGCTTGAGGCCGGGCTGGTCGTATCACAGCCGACCCCTCTCACCCCGCACATGGACTATTCCAAACACTCCCCTCAGGCAGGAGACTGCGGTCCATCAGGACTAGAACATCCCGCCACAAGAACAGTTTCTTCCCCTCTGCTGTTGGACTCTTGAACACTTCTCAACCTCTTTACTAACACCGGCGCGCCGGCGGCTGTTTTTATGTTTTTAAATGTTCTGCTGGCAATAGCAGATGTATTTTGAACACCAAACTCCAAAAGCTGTATATCATTTTAAAGCTTATTTTCTTATCTACATTTATATACAAGTGTAAACCACATCAGACTTTGCATTCAAAAGATATAACACATAATGTGGGCACAAAATAAATCAATTCCGAAATAGTTTTTTACCTTTGGGCTTGTGCTGTACAAATAAATCAGCTCTCCTCCCAGCTTGCAATACATCATTCTCTCTGGAACAGTCCAAAGGAAAATTATATCCACTTGTATTTCCCAAAGTAAAATCCATTCTGCAGAAATAATCAGAGGTGGGACAAAGTCATTGTTTAGCAAGTCACAAGTCAGTCTCAATTCATTGCCCTCAAGTCCCGAGTCAAGTCACGAGTCAAGACAGGCAAGTCCCGAGTCGAGTCCAAGTCAAAGGCCAACAAATCTCAAGTCAGTCCCAAGTCCTACGGTTTGACTTTCGAGTCCTCTCGAGTCTTTTTGACCACGATTTGTTTCTTGTTGGTCTCCACGTACTTTTGTAGGCAAACAAAATAATGTTAGGAATCATTTTGCTGGTGCATTCTTGTTGGTCTCTGACCCATGGACTAACAGTTTGTTCCATGTCGTTGGCCGCTGGTAAATCATAACTATCTACGTGATCTAATTGGATGTTGTGCCAGATGCAGGCTCAGTTACACATGCACAGACCACACATAAAATCAGAGCAGTCCGTGTCAACATACTTTTTATCTTTGGGGTCTTTAATGGGAAGTAGCAAATGCAGCATATATGAATATGAGTATTGGGCTAGGACCTGTATCTATATAATCAGTTTAATGTCCGTAGTGGTTATTGTTCCAAATGTCCTACTGTAGGATAGGGGTAGTATGAGGGGTCTAGGCTTTGGACCTGGGCAGCTCGCCATCAAAAAAAAAAAGGGGGGGGCAAAGGACTGAAGGGACCAATGACCAATGGAGGGGAAGGAACCTGGCCTGTATGAACTGGACCAGCATTAGTAATATCTCATAATTACCAATATATCATTACATAATAAAATTTCTCATATAAATTAATTCAATCAGTCAAAGCACTGATTCTCATATCAATGCACCATAAACAATAGTGCAAATATTAATCTAGCTTAGTGCACATAATCAAAACAACTATCTAATGTATGCAAACTTTAGCAGGAGGAGCACAGCAAAAACATACTCATAATAATAGGGCTCGGCGCCCACACAGAAAAATATATGAAAGAGCCAACAGAGCAGCGCAGGCTAGCGCTAGTTTGACTCACCAGTTCCTCTTTAAAACACGGCACACAGTGTGACAACTGCGTCGATTCAATTGTATGAGGCGCCTGTAGTGAAAGCATATCAATTACGGTTTGTAGAACAAAGTATGACGTTAGGTCGCAATAAATACCTGCAGCTCGCTCATTTCCAGCTCCCCTACGACAACACACCCACCGGTGAATGCATTGCGCTTGTTTAGGGAAGTGTTGTTGCGCGAACTGCGGGAAACTCACGTTCGAACTCTCTCGCGAGCGCTACAACTACCGCGAGGCTTTGTTTCTTCAGAGACGGCATAGATAGAAAGAGAGATGCGGAGAAAGGTAAAAATGGCCCGGGTTACGCAAGTCTTTACAAGTCAATTGGCGCAAGTCCAAGTGAAAGTCAGAGTCATTGATGTTAAAGTCCAAGTCGAGTTTATATTTGGTCAAGTCGAGTCTAAAGTCATCAAAATCATGACTCAAGTCTGACTCGAGTCCAAGTCACATGACTCGAGTCCACACCTCTGGAAATAATCCAAAAATGTGCATTTATCTTTAGCGAAAAAAACGAAAAAAAAAGAGCACAGATGTTACTCTTTCACTTTTAACGGACTTTTAGCTTTGTTTTTCACCCAAACATCTGGTATCCACGTGTTCCTTAGCTCCTTATCTTTCAAATGAGACTACTCCCGAAAAGCTAGAACAATTTTTGGGTCTGCAAGAGGTCCCGTAAGTACAGCTTGCGCTGCTGTTTGCGCATTGAACACTGATCTTTTGTGGGGTCCCAACTTGTTTGCTTTTACTTCCGGGATTTACGATTGACATGTCCTTGTAGCCAATGAGGAACGCTTTCGAACAAGGGGTGGGACAATGGTGTCCTGTCTTATGTTGGGCCTGGACAATTGTGCGTAATGGAAGCCAAAAGACGCTCTCGAAGCTGCAATGAATTTACACTCATAAAAAAATAACTTTGACATTTAAAGTGATAGTATGCAGTTTGTCAGAAAAAGAGAGAGAGGAACATGATTTGAAAAAAAAACCGACCCAAGCTCCCTCCCCCTCCTTTCTGATTGGTCTTGAAGCCGCGCCTACTTTCCCGTGAACGCGCCAGGTCAAAGGTGCGGAGGAGAGAGAGAAACCGTTGTCAATAATGGAGTTATCGGAGGTGAGGATGCATTTTTGTTTTGAAATTATTTTTCATGGAGATAACAAGTTTATGTAACTAACGTTGTACTAATACTCTAAACTGGCATGTCCTGTAAATATGTAGTGTTTTCAATCGATTTACATTGTTTATAGCTTGCAACGTTGTTATTACTCATTTGCTATGCTAACAGCTAGCGTAGGATTTACGTATTGTCCGGTCTTTTTAGTGTGTACACCTCTTTAGATGTGGGCCAGATTGTTTTCAATTATTTAAATTTTTGTCATCTTCAGAGCTCTTTTATGAGTGGATCATCTGGTGAGGAATATATTCCCCCTGCAGCATCATCATCAAGGAGAAGCGCTCCAAAACGAAAACGTGCTTCTACCTCTCAAGGTCGAGGAGGGGGTTGGGGGCAAGGCCCGAGTCATGCAGGAGTAGCTGCTGTAAACCTGAGTGACGAGGATTTAGCCCGTGCTCAGGAGCAAAGAACACAGAGGCTAATCGTCGAACATGATGTTGAATATATTCCTCCTGTAGCAACATCTTCACTAAGCAGTAGCGCCCCGAAAAGAAAACGGGCATCTACCTCTCAAGGCCGTGGAAGGGGTCGGGGGCAAGGCCCGAGGCATGCTGGATACGCTGCTGTAAACCTGTATGAGGATGATTTAGCCCGTGTTCAGGAGCTTATAACACAGAGGCGAAACTTTGAACGTGTAAGTCCCTTGAGAAGTCTAACCATATACATAATTTGCATTAAATCATTGCAACATGCTTTCTTTTTATACAGGCACTCATACAGAATCTGTCTCCGGAACAATGTAGGGACGTGCTGACAAAGGCGGTAGATGGAGACCCAGGTGTTCTTTTCGACATAATCACTAACAATGCACCTCCCGAAAGAAACACATCCACTGAAAATCCGCCACCTTGGTGCAGATGTGCACACTGCCGAGAGATGCCAACTGATGTCGAGAAAAAATGCTGCTTGCATCCTCCAGAACTATGCATATCAACTGTAGCACATGTAGAGACATATATAATCCAGAGAGGAGTCTTGCGCTTAGCCCGACGACTCTGGAATGAGTTTCGTGCAATGGTTGATGGATCTGACCCTGGAGAAGACAACCGTCAGTTTCGCCATGCTGCCTACCGGCAGTATGTTGCTTGGCAGCATGGAAGACTAGGTGCTGGACGGCGTGTGGTCATTCCAAGCTGTATGGTGTGGAGAATTAGAGACACATTTCCAGATCCTAACGGGAACTACACTGGGTTCATACCAAGACGATTATAGTTTACATTAGCACTTTTTGTTCACATTGTTGCATTGCTGTTTTCACATGTTCTTTTTGATTTGATAAATAAAAAATATTTCATTACAATACTGTGTAATTACAAAGCTCAACTGCAAATTGCCTGAAAATAACAAATATACAATTGGTTACAGATATAATAAACGGTCAACCACTTTCCATGAAAAACTTTATTTACAAAAACACTATTTACACACAATATAAAAAAAAAAAGTTTAGATTTTATTTCTGAGGCAATCGTTGACCTGTAACAAAACCAGTATATGATATGGATAAAATGATGAATACAAATTCTACATTCAGCATTGTGAGAAGAATAAATTAGTCAATACCATCTCCTCGGGTGCGCTGGTGTTCTAGTAACTCCTGTGTTGTTGGGGCAGGGATAGTTGACAGCAAACCCAATCTCCTTGGGTCCATGGCTCTGTATTTTCTTTGACGTGGGAGTCCTTTTTGGCTGTTCACTCGTGCTGTAACGACCATTGTCTGGAGTTCCGGGATATATGCATAGTCCTTCTCAACTTTGATTGCATAAATCCTCCAGCACCTAGACTTTTTATTGAATACTTTTCTGTATCTAAAATAGAGACATAAAGATGGCACAAAAGTAAAATCATAGAAAAGCAATAAGCATGCATAGTTTATAAAGTGTGAACATACTGTATGGCTCCATCTGCATTCCTTTTAGCAGGTCTATGTACATGGTGATTGTAATCAAGGGCAGCAAGTTGCATTCTCATGTCCATGATGGGCGGGTCGTAACTAAATCTTTTGCTGGCATACATAAGAAGGTGGCTGTGGAATGCTTCCAGGCGTGCGGTTGATCTACAAATAAATTACAGTTTAATTTGATCTCTTCCGTATTTATATATATTGTAAAAACAATACCTGAACTTCAGATACTTTGGTACTTCTTTTAACCAACGTTCTTTCAGAATGATCTCACTTAGAACGTTGTGCGCCGTTGAACCTTTGACAAGCCACTCTTTCTCACGTTCACTTTCCAGTGGGTCATGTTGGCATGCATCTAGAGGCCACACATGTTCCCCAGTGACATGATGCAGCAAGCCCATCCACATGTTCTAACAAATGTTTGATATGTAATTCATGGTAAGTGCATTTGAATTGAACTTTCAAACATTACAAAATTGAGTTGCCAATCAATGGATGGCATTGCTGACTTGGCACCCATTATGCCGCTGTTGTTGTGATGGAATGCAATTTTATGCTATGTTATGTCATCACAAGCTTGATATTATAGTATTTGTATTTTGTAGATACTTACAAAAAACTCCTCATACGTGTTTGCTTTATTGCAGCAGAACCAGAAATGATTGCAAATATCTTTGTTCCACTGTAGTAATATGGAACATCCCTTTTGCTGGCCAGCCTACAAAGAAAAGGGTCACAAATTCAATGCTTGTACAATGTCAATGCACAACAATCTTTCACAAAGCTCACTATTTTACTTACTGCATGTATCTTTTTGCCCAAGTTTTTTGCTCCGTGCCACATATCGTATGTGTGTTCCACACCACTGTCTTTGAATATGCCATTTCCTGTGTGAGTATTACAAATTAAATAAATAATGTAATTGCTTTATATAGGAGTACCATTTCTAATGTCATACCATAAATATGATTTGACTTACGGAAAAGAGCAGAAATCTGTGTATGGGCATCGGTACAGACTTCTGTAAGGTTTACCTCTCCCTTCAGCTGATTGAAGCTCTTGATGAAAGCCTCTCTCTCCATTATAGTAGAAATCCTACCACATAGTCTTTTATCTTCAGTTTTGATGGACATAATTTTCTTCGTCTCATTGTCCATCAAGGTGTAAGTACAGTACTGGGCTGAAAATCCTGGGCTGTCCATTCTTCCATCGCCTGTGTCCATAATTAAAAAATAATGTAAATAAAAAGGTTCTCACCCAAGTAAACAAAAAAAAAAAAAACTCAAGAAATTACCTAGAGCAACAACACTTCTGTCATGGACCTCAGCTATAACCGCTGACCGTTTCTCTTCCCAGAAGCTCTCAATGACATCATGACAGTATTCAGCTTGAATACGGTAGAACGTGGACTTTGCAACCATGCCCATATTCATGTACTTGAACAAAAGGGCTATTTTTGAATAGTTGTTGCCAGATAGGAGTATGTTGGTGGCCAGCATGAAGTCCCCACTCTGCATGCCAAATTTAAATTTGGGTTGAGAGTTCCACTCCCAAACAACATGATCATTTGGACAAATCTAAAGAAGGAAAAAGATAGTAATATACACAATTGCAAAAAGACAAAATGCATTACAGCACTGTAAGAAAAAAAAGGCATTCATACCCATTTTACAACCATAGCTGTTCCTCTGGTAGAAATGTCTGTCTGGTATGGTGCTGGGGCTCCACAATCTGACAAATCTTCCATTTTGGCTGTGCATAATGTAATAGGAATGAGCAGGAACTCTGCAAGTTGCTGCACACACTTGTGGTACACTATTGCAGCCTGCTGACCAACAATGTCTCCAGAAACAGCCACTTTACAATTGTCAGGTATGGACACTGGGTCATCGTGGGGTGCTTCAGGAAGGACAATATCATAAAGTGTATCCTCCTCACTTATGTCCTGGAGATTTTGAAGTTCTATTACTTCTCTCATAGTGGCCCCGGTCCTGTGAACAGTGTGACAAGTGTATTATGTACTCTGTTTTACATGTTCAGTTTACATACACATACAATGAAGTCAACCTTATGCGATATGGAGGTATGTATTCTTCATCATTGCTGTCCTCAGACTCTTCCATTTCAATTGTCCAGTCTTCTTCTGAAGACGAAACATCTTCAGTCTCTTGGCTTGGTGACCATGTTTGGTCATCGTCTGATTCAAGGCTGTATCACAAAAGTAACAACGACTTAGTATGTGATATGTGTAAACTTGCTTTTGTAAGCAAAAGCTCAAATCCTCACATGGAATTTTCTATTCTGTTGTACTCCTCCTCGTTGATCTCTACAGGAATACCACTTGATGGCAAACTAAACAAAACAAAGAACAACATTATTCTAATTTATATCCAAATTGACCATAGTGGCAATCATACGGCAACTAAAAAGTTTCACTTACTGTCCAGTTACAGAGATTGAGACTTCACCTTGCCCCAGGACCTCCACCCCCTCTTCAAATGCAAAATCTCTAAAGAAATAAAAAGAAAATGTTAGTTTTAGTTTTTTCTCTTGCCACTCAAACATTTTATTGTGGTTATGTGGTGTTTAGGTATCTATTTTCCCATGGTTAGACAAAGGGATGCTTTGGTATTACACTGTATTTGCATTTGTAAGGTCAACACTCATGGCCCTTACTGATAGAGCACTCAAGTAGTGTATTGTTAACAGACATCCCCACCCCACCACTGGCTAATCTAATTTAAAAATATTCTCACCTCTCAGACAAGTCTCCGTGGATACTAGACAGTGCTGGAAAAGCAAATAGCTGTTTTTTGAAAGGTGTAGAGGTTGAAACTTGAGATCCGGTTTGGTAACTGGAAACACAAATATTATAATTACACCAATCGTAACTGCATTTAAATTCTCACATAAAAAGATATCATTTGACTCATATGTAAGGATGGCACAGAATCTGAACTAGCTTCCTGACTCATTCTTTGCTTACACCCTACAGAATATGAATGCCATGTCTATGAGATATGTCTATCTGACAAACAATAGTAAGCACCATAACGTGAAATACAGATAATTATAAACACAGTTATAAACACTCACACAACTGACTCACTGAGCTAAAGTCACCAGCTGGTTATACAACTTTATAACTACTGTCGAGAACGAACCAGACAGGGACGGATCGTGGTGCGCCAAAGCTCTGGAAGTTTATTTAGGTTTCTCTCAATTTCCAGTGGTTTCAGTTGTTTCTTTCTTTCAGATAGAACAAAGCCAGTACACAGTTTATATAGTCATTGTTACGTCACACATCGAAAGTTATACGTGTCAAACCCAGAGACACCAGAGCATAATAGTCATAACATGAACACAGTCAAAGTCCTTGTAGAGTTGTCTTGCACTTGTCCTGCGTAGTCAAAATAGCCATCTAATCCTCACACTACAATAAATAGCAATAAACACGTTAATCTTTGGCTTTCCAAAAATGGAACTCGCGTGATCCAAAATTTGTACAGTTTTATGGCGCAACAAGTACAAGTAAAACTACTTCAACTAATACTACTACTGTGGATAGCCCTATCTGCAGGTTAGGTTGTGAAAAACATCTGCGTTGGCCAGTCACTGTATTGTACTGTTGAACATTGAATACCCACTGTATTCAATGTTTCACTTGTATACTAGCTTTAGGCTACAAGCTAACGCGAGACAAACAGCTCATACCGCTATTTAGACCGCGTAGTAACGCGGAGAATATGTAAAATACATTACAATGAGGCACCCACTAAATAACATATTCATTCGGGATGAACACTTGTGTCATGCATTTACCTGTCCAAGAGAAACTTTGCCAAGTCTTCGTCCGTTTTGAATGCCTTGAACTCACGAAGGTGTCTCCATCTGTTGAAAACGTCTCCGATATTGATTCTACTTCTGTCTCGCATTCGTTTTTCAGCTAATTTAGTAGCAGGACTTTTGAACTTTTTAAATTTCCTTTGAGAAGTAGAAGGGACACGTGAAATGGGTATCTTCTGCTCTTTAGCTAAGTGTTGATCCATGGCTGCGCACGGGACTTGCTTGTTTCAGAAGCTCAGCGAAAACAAACAACTGAGCATGCGCGCAGCTACGAGCACGAGCGCCGATGATTGACAGCCCTTGGCTTCACTTCATTGGTTCACTTCGACGGCATCGTGGATTCTGAGATATAGCTAAGAGAAGGGAAGGCGGGACTTACTTGTAATATTGGAAATTATAAAATGACTTATTTTATATCAACATATAAGGCCAGGAGGTCAATTTAACACAATTCTTAAAAAATGTAACTCATTCAGAGTTGCATACTATCACTTTAATACAATTATGATTTTTTTTCCTGAATGAATGTTTTATTTGGACATTTTAAATGATAAAAAACAAAACAAAAGTATTGAATCAATGTATAATTACATTATAAATTGTCCATAATGCAAGTTGTATAAAAAAATAAAACAAAAATGCAGAAGAAAGATTTGGTTCAAACTTATTCTACTTAAAATAAAATGTAAAACTTTCAACATTCAACGAATGTATGATCATTTATCAACATTTATGGACATTTGTCTTCTGCTCCAATGGATCAAAGGGCTTTTTCTCATTTAATTGTAACTGTTTGATTCTCTGATCTGGGTTGGCGAATCGACAGCTCTGTAAAGTCCTCTGAGATCACTGCTGTAGTGATTTAGGGCGGTACAGAAATAAATTCAACTGAAGTGAAGCCTCCACACACCACATGCACTCGCCGTCCCGCGGCCGTTCCTCCATCACTGTCTAAACATCTCGCATTCTCTCCCTCGGCCGCCTCCTCTCTGCACCTCAGCGACTCATTTGTCTCGGCAGATAAGATGTGTGAACTTCTTGGGGATCATGGAGGGTGAAAAGATTATTAAATAAATAAATAAATGAAATGGTGATAAGCTCACACATGTCCCCACAGGGCTTCCGTAGTTCGGCACGGGCTGCAGATTGAGGTGCAACAGTGACGCCCTAATCTATCCAACAGTT